CATGGTCTAACTATTGATGCTACTTTTCAAGCATTTTGCAGGTTTCTTAAAAAAAATGTTTCTCATGCTTTAAGAGGTCTAATTTATTTTGTTTTATGATTAGTAAAGAATATGTTTTTGGTGAGTATTTGAGTATTCTAATGTTATTCAGAATGTTTTGATTAGTTGTAATAAACTGTTGTATGTATTTCTGGGACTAAACTGACTTTTTATAGATTTTTGATTGTCAGTTGTTGCATCAGCACAGTGTTTTGGTCATCACTACAGTAATTGTGATATTTGGAAAATAATTAATGCCATACAAAGAAAGACCATATCCAACAGCTGTTAAAGTAAAAAAAAAAAAAGCCTGGCTTCCTGCAGAAACCCAGACAGCACATTGACTCTACATTTCAGAGTCTGAGTGTCCTCTGAGGTCTTTGTTAGGACTTCCTCCCGTTCTCGCCTGCTGTAGTTGTGAGTAAGCATCAGGGACGACACACATCTCCCATCCAGTGAAGTATTGATTTTTCAGCGTGTTGTGATGTGAGGAGCACAAACTATGACCGTTTCACTTCAGTCTACAGCAGGGGTGGACAATCGTGGTCCTGGAGGGCTGCAGCCCTGCATGTTTTACTTGCTTCTCTGCTCCAACACACCTGATTTGAATGAATGGATGATTATCAGGCTTCTTGCAGTATGGAGGACCGAAACTGACATAATTAGAAATAAAAGCAGAATTATATAAATGAACCACTAAATAAATACATTTGAAATGCACCAATTAAAATAACAAAGGAGAACTTTATCTCATGTTTTTTTTTGTTTGAAATGACTTTAATATTTATTTTTCCAGGTTAGTATAAATAAGTCTATATATTTTAACACATAATTTAAATTTGAATGTTTTTTAAAATACATTTTTTTGTTTTTCCTTTTACTTCTACATGCATTTGTGTCTCTTAAATGTTTATACTTAATTATTTTTATATTTTTCCCACAAAGCTTTTTTATTTCTATGTGTTGCAGGCGTGTGCTGCCTCAGTTTAGCTTAAAGTTTAGTTTAAAACAAAGGCAAGGAGAAAAACTTACCCGCGCCTTTGTTTTTAACTAAACTTTAAACTTTAAGCTAAACTGAGGCAGCACACGCCTGCAACACATCGAAACAAAAAAGACTTGTGGGACAAAACTATAAAAATATTTCATTTAAGAGACCAATGTATGTATAAGTAAAAGGGAAAACTGAAAAATGTATATTTTAAAAAACAGTCAAATTTGAATTGTTAAAAAATATCAATTAAATGAGAATAAAATTACAAAACATGAGGTGAAGTTCTTTTTTAATCGAATTGGTGCATTTTAAGTGTATTTATTTATTTAGTGGTTCATTCATATATTTCTGCTTTTATTTATAATTATGTCAGTGTCGGTCCTCCATTCTGCAGAACTTAGAAGGTAAATCAATGTCTGAATCAGGTGTGTTGGAGCCAGGAAAAACGTAAAACATGTAGGGCTGTGGCCCTCGAGGACCAGGATTGCCCACCCCTGCTCTACAGAATAACTGTATTAGGAGGCCACTAGGAGGCTGCCGAGGCTGAGGCCCGGGCTGCTGGTTTATTTTAAAACTCCTCTTTGACACAGGATCAGTCTCCCACTGCCACAGGCTGTTATAAAAGACGGTTCATTATCTGACTGGACAGTTAACACCTCTTATATAAAAATCTGATTTATAGTGGTATCACTGAAGACTGATTTAAAACAGTTTAATTTTAGGAACAAATTGAGCCTTTTTAAACAAGTTTCTTTCACATGTCTTAAGCTCAGATGTTTATGTAGATGATGTTTGTGACACAACATCCTCTGTTCCAAAAAAATGTGATGAGTTGTTTAGGCTAACCTGTTTCCTTTTTAATGTGAAGTTTTGACTATTTTTCGTCCCAGTCTTACACATTTTACAGTCCAATATTCATCGCAGTAACTGCAGCTAATCATAGTAATCTAATGTGTTTTAAATGTGACTTTTTAGCAGGAAGGCTGAATATATTTATTTTAGCTAATTATGATGGGATCAGCTACTTAAACGTACAGATTGACATAAATAAAGATGGATTAAGTGACAACATTAAGTTCCATTCTCAAAGAATTGAAGCTAAACGGTCTATTTTGTTTGTTTGTTTGTTTGTTTGTTTGTTTGTTTGTTTGTTTGTTTGTTTGTTTGTTTGTTTGTTTGTTTTGGGGGCTGGTTGTGGTGTTTTATTATTGGAGCCAGAGGCTGTGCGCTAGTAATGTGGATTTGTGTCGTTGATACAAAAGTCTCACCTTCACACCCTCTCAACTCTCTACTAGATTATGTCATTCATGATGAAATGTGGCACTTTAAAGTCTTAAATAAGTCGTTGAAGCAAAATGTTTCTGTTTTCTTTTAAGACATAAGTGTAAAAAATGTAAAAACTCTATGAAAATTTAACAAAATTAAACACCTGAAAAATGACCTAAATTGTTTTTATTTTTTCAGTCAAGCAACTGTCCCATTTTTTTATATGGAGGGGCAGGGCTTAAAAATGTACAACAGCCAGCCACCAGAGGGCGCTCCTTCTTTGTGGCTTCAACTTCCGGCTTTCAGTCCTTTCTCTACTTACAGTAATGTTGATGGTTTAAACCTGCTGCCGTGATAAAGGACAGCTTTGTAATGTAATTATTCACGGCAAATCTTTTAGGCTATCCACAAATGTCAGAACAATTTTTTAAAACTTGATCAAAATTTAGGTTTTAATTTGGAAATGTGTACTGACCAACCTGTTCACTTTAATATACTAAGAGAGTAATTTTGATATTTTTACTGTACTTCCTAATCCACTATAGTACCCAATAAACTTGTCAGAGGTTTTACACAATACTGGTGGAAATAGACCATAATGCATTGAATCCTCAGCCAGCTCAGTAGATTAATGAGGCTAATGCTAACGCTAACATCCACAGCTCATTGTTCTGGTTTTTCAGACTTGTTCAAACTGCCTGTATTTATCTAACATACAGTGGCTCATCTGTTGTTCTCGGGCTACAAGAAAATTGGGAACTGAGACTATATAAAGTGTTTCCAGTGAATTCAAAATATTAAACATGTTAAAAAAATGTTGAAAATCCCAAAATAAGAAACAAGCCACGTTTTTGCTTGTTATCCAGCTGTGTGACTTGCATTTGATTATTTGCACACATTTTACAAAAAAAGTATATATCATTTAGGTTATATTAATTCGTAATTTTAGTGTTGAAGGTTGCAATATAACTGCAGCTACAGTCGTTTGAGCAGATGCTGTAGCTTATGTGTTATAAATTCATGTAAAATTATAGTGACAGWTGATGTTAACTGCATTTTTAGCCCAAACCAGCAGAACTACTAAATTAATCATTTCAGATTCAGGAATATATTCCAATGTTTCTTGCGTGTGTTTATTTATGCCACACCTTATTGTGAACCATGCTGCATTCCTGTAATGTTCAGAATGTGAAAACACTGGATTGTCCCCTATCACCTACTTAACCCYCCTGCTGCCCTGGGTCAAAATGTTGTGGGTCATTTTGACCCATGTAAACAGGAGGGGTAACATGTTACATAGTACCACAATGTAGTGAATGAAGGAGTAAAGAATTTAGGTTGGAAACTAAACAGTAAAGTTTTTGACAGGACTATAATATATAGACAATGTTCAATGTTTCATTAGTCTGTTTGTACCTTCACTTTGTGACAAAATAATCTGCTCTTTTGGCTGAATCAAACTGAAAATTGTTAATTAACTAACTACATAGTAACACTTTTTAGAAAAACACTCATAAAAAGATTGATCAGATTTTACATTAGCTGCTGTGCTGCCTGTGAAGTTCTTCAGTTGGTTTGATTTTTTTTTTTGTTATAGACTAATTTGTATTGCCACTAAGGTGGAGCAATATTAGCAATAAAATAATTCATGATTACTTGTGGCATTTAATGAATAGTTTGCCAGTTAATTGATGACATTTGCATGTAGCTGTCATGGCTTTAATCTTCATTTTCTGGCTTTCGTCTTACTACAGTTTATGTTGGTGATGAAACGAGTTTGTAGGGTTAGGGTTAGCTACTCTGCACTGCCTTCGGCTCACATATGCGCCTGATAGTGGTGGTGTGTTGCACACAAAAATATGTCATCACGTGGTACAAATTACAGTTATTGCAGAGGCAAATACAAATAGTCGACAGATTTTCTGATGATTATTTGCATACGATTTTGCCCAACTCTAATTTTTTTATTATGAATTTTGTTTAAACTGCAATGCTATTATCAAATCAACTAAAATAAGCCAGTTTATATTTTTAATTCTACTACATATTTATGCAATGTTTAACAAGCAGGCTTTAAAGCATATTTTGAGATTGTTTTTCCATCTCTTTTTATTTGCCCTCTCTAGGTTACATATGTGGCTTTTTATGTATTATTTGGAGAAAAAAATAATCGGAACTGCTGCTTTCACAACACTGCTGACATAATAAAGCACCATCATTTGGTGTAACTGATGTTATCTAAAAATTTAATCGTGGAGATGTAAGGCAGACAAGGTTTTTTTTCTGCCATCCTGTCTTCTGTAGTGTCGCTGGAAACCCTCGCTCCTCGAGGCCCTTATGTAATCCTGGCACCGGATCAGCCGCGGCCTTTGTGAATTCCTGCTGTTACCGGATAGCCTGTGGTTACCACACAGAGTGTAGGTCAAACATATCAGAGAGCAGCCATCAGGAACATCTATATCTCCCCCACCTCTGTGTTACCATGGAGCTCATTCTGAGTTTCGGCTGTTGTAGGAACATCCTGTTTCGACKCAGGAAAAAAATAAATAAAAATAAAACGCAGCCAGATGCTGCAGATTGAAGTTGCTGGGAGGACGCCCTCGGATCAACGAAAACATTCATTTCGAGTTCATAGAAATTAATCTTTTAAATGTTTTTTAATGAGACAAAAACAGGCTACACCAAGAAAAAAAGCTATTTTTTCTTTTTTTTTTCTTCTTTTGTTATAACAACTGCACTCTTACATACATTATTTTACAGTCATGGACTGTAACACCACACAAATCTATGTACTCAATGGCTTTTTAGAGTTTTACTTGAAAATGTAATTCCGTTAAATGGAAATAGTTGCTTCTGTGTGTAAAAGCTAGAGGTTGTGCTTACGTTCCAGAAATGCCCTCGCCCTTTGACCTGTGACCTCTCGAGGTGAGAGGAATCCACAACAAAACCCTTCCTRAATGATGAGCGTCCACTTGTGGTCTTTAGAATTGAAGAACATGCTTTTTCTCATTTTTTTCTTTTAAAGTAATACACATCTTATTCGTCACATACAAAAAAAAAACAGAGAAAAGTCCTTTATGTACACTCTCCGTTTGTCTCACTTCCTGCATCAGTTTATGTTTCCGGGGGCCGGAGACGCTGAGCACCAGTCCAAAGTTTTGTTTGGTTTCTACAGGTTCTCTGATCATGCAGCTCAGAAGAAGGGAAAAATAATTTTAGACACTAATTTTTAGAGATCCTTTGAAGTCGTTGGTCAGTTGAGCAACAGAGTCTCACAAACTGGAGAAAACAGTGGTCCATCAGGTTTCAGTTTGGAGGATTTCTCTCTGTTCGCTGTCAAAACATTCACTTCCTGTCCGCGTCGAATCCGGTAATTTACAGATGGAACCGAAGAAATGACAGGTGGAGGAGCCATGGACTGATGAGGGGGCTGGGGTGTTGGGTCAGGGGTCAGTGCTGGAGATTTATTTGGATTTTCCTTCATACGGGCCGGTCCACAGCATATTGGCAGGGGCTCAGGTTGGACACGGGGTTCTGGACTGCAGGGTAGGGGAAGTTGGTGTGCTGCTTGGCTTTGAGCCGCAGGCTGGCCAGGCTGGAGTTGCAGGTGTCTCTGTACATGTAGGGGCTGGCGGTGGTGGCGTAGGGGCACGTGGCCGCGGTCACTGCCACGGAGTTGAGAGCGGTGGGGCTGTTGAGGTTGTTGAGGTTCCCCAGGTTGTTGAGCCCGGTGGCCGGAACCCCCGCCACGGCCGAGGGCACCATGCTGGAGGCCATGTTCATAGAGGGAATGGAGCTCGGCGGGGAGAACATGGGCTGGGATGACAGGGGGGTTACATTCATTGAGTTAAAGAAAGGAAAGCTTTTGGCAGACAGTGGGCTGCTTGCTAAGCTCTTAGTGGCCCAGTTGTTGTAGGAGTAACCAGTGTACATGTCATCATAGGGCTGCATGAGTCCATTGAACTGAGCACCAAAGCCATTTTTGCACAGCTCTGCCTGCTGGTTCCTTTCTCGCTTTCTCCACTTAGCACGCCGATTTTTGAACCATACCTAAGACAAAAAACAAATCGGAAGAATAATGAATCTATGTACTAACGCTCTCTAATGCACTCTTTTGGCAAAGCAGATTGGCTTTTATAAAGACTAAAACTTAGTGCTTGGCCAAAAAAAAAAAAAAAAAGAGAAAACATCAAGCACTTTGTTTCTAACGGAATAAAGACAATAAAACAGAGGGTTATGGGTTATTTTACCAAAAGCAGCAGGAGGATTCAAATTACCACATATCTGATGAGATTTGATAAAACCCCTAAAATGAGAAAGCAGCAAACAGGAAGGTCAGTGTATCTTTTAGTCATTGGATTTTCATTTTCGAAACGGGTATTAAAAAACAAGAAACGAGTGGATATTTGTTTTTTGTTTTAAAATACTGAAATTAAAATTAAAATATAAAGCGTTTCTCGTTCTTCGTGTCAAAAAGGGATGAACGAAATTTTTTTAATGATTTGAGTTTCGTTATCTGTTTCAGATAGCAAAAAAGAAAATTAGTTTAAGGCAGAAACGACAAAAGGCGTGTTTGTTCATAATCCTTGCCGGGTCGTACCAACTTACTGTCTCCCTACAATAAACTGTTTCACCACCAGTAGGCGTGTCTGCAATATCAAAGTTACTCAATAAACATCTCATTACAAGTAAAAAGCGTTGATGTTGACTTTGGTATCAAATATATTTGCCAAGTATTTATTTGGTATCAGATCGATATCAGTCGTAGTACCGCCCACCCCTCGCTGAAAGGAAAAATCCAAGGACACAAACTGACAGAAAAAAGCACAGATTTTGTCAAAACTCAGGAGGAAAAGAAAACCTTTGTGCTCACAGAACAACAACTGTACAACACACTAATAGAATGAAATTTATCTTATTTTGCTTTTTATTGAGAAAAATGGAGATGAAACATGGAGGCAGTAGCTGAATTCAGTAAAAGAGACTTATTTGGCCAAAAACCACATGAATTATCTCTGCAGCCTTTGGTCACAGAGCAACAGTCATCATACAACTTATTTATGGACACTTCTCTGTGTTTCAGCCTTTTATTTACAGAAATTAATGTTTCATTATGCAGAGCTGCCAGGCGAGCGCCCCTTCTGGTGGGGGAATAAATAGTCATAGAATACAAATAAACAAGCCTTTTCCCATTTCTGTCTTCAAGTAATTTTCTTTTTTTCTATCTGAAACAGAAAATGAAACTCAAATCATTTTTAACATTTTGTTTATCCCCTTTCGACACTAAGAATGAGAATTTTTAATACCCGTTTCAAAAATGAAAATCCAATAACCAAAAGATACACTGACCCAGGAAGTGCAGCTCTGTCAATTTACGATTTAAAATAATGCACATGATAACACATTAYTGGTTAAGTGACTAGTCCAGCTTTTAAAAAGGAGAATGCAGTAAATGGTGATCCTATACAAAAAATCAACTTGGATTTATGACAGCATAGTAATCAGTAAAAAAATAAATAAATCTGTTAAACCAGATTAAAGACTAATGTCAAGATTAAAAAATACATCTAGGATAAAGTTATGTTGAAAATAAATTTAAAATCACAGAAAAAATAAATCTATTTTGAGATTAGAGTTTATTTGTTGAGAATAAATACAAAATATTTGGATTAGTAGCTATGCCCAGAATTAAATAGAAATTAAAAAAATAATAATCCATGCAAGATAGAGTACAAATGTCTAACTTATATCCAAAATATAGCTGAAATTCTGTAATTATTTTTTGACAAAAAATCAACATTTCAACAGAAGTCAAATCAACAGAACAAAGTCAATATTTTCTTTTTTTTTTCAGAATAAAGTTGAAATTCTAAAATAAAATTTATGACAAGAACTAAATTAAATCTTTGAGGTTGAATGAAGACATCAAAGTCGGAATTTCAAGATTAAAATTGACTTTAATGTCAAAATACCTAGATAAAAATCAAAATGCTATTTGAAGTATAAGGTCAAGATGGGTACAGCTGTAATTTTCACTCAAACAACAAATCATTCATGACACAAGCACCTAGAACCAAATGTCCTGTGAAAAAAGTGACCATCCTTCAGAATTGGTTTGCTAAAAAATTTCTTGTTTTAACAAATAAAATGTAACTTGCATCATGAGCTGAGGTCTGTAAAGTATAAATGTTACCAGCAAAACAAAAAAAACTATATTATTTACTAAAGAAAACACTTTTCAAAGTTTTACACAATTTGAGTGCATTTTCAGCTTAACAATATGAGTGTGTGTTAGAGACATTTATTGTGAAGAGTCCTAATTTGAAGTCCATTCAGCTGTAGGAGTAAAGACTTTACCTTACACTGGTTCAAGTGAGTTTTTTGTAGTTTATCTCATAAAAATCTTAATGACAATATTAACAAAAATAAAACAAAGACAGCAGAATTGTGCTTGACTTTATTTGCAACAGTTTAACTTTAATCTTAAAACTGAGAAGCAAACAAAAACAAACCCTTCCTTTTATTTTAATTTTTCCTGAATGGTCTAAATATACTGTTATAGGAACCCGAATTTAAAAGGTTTTTCAAATTAAAAGCTTTCTTGAGTAACATTCACAGTCATCGCTTGACGCGTCGTGGTAAAAAGGGGTTAAAATCACAACAATTAAAGCTGCTGTGAATAAAAAGAAAAGCTCCAACTTGCTAGAAAGTTGGTGAATAATAAGATGTTTTCCTAGCTTCGCTCGCAGCTTGACTTGATTTGATTTTTGGGGAACGATATAGAACAACCGAACAGACAAATTTCAAACGACTTCTCATTTTAAAAGAACTGAAGTCAATAAACGCCTAATTCTAAAACACATCTAGTCAGCGGAACCCTAACCCCTCTCAGATGATCTCAGTAATATTGTCGGCAGATGTGTCTGGAATTTTTGAAAGACACGATGATCCCAGAAAGTAAGTTGAAGTGTATCATCAAACAGTCTTATTAGGCAGGGCTTATTAAAACTAATCATTCACTTATTTGAATAGTGAGATCCCAATGAAGAAAATGTCAGGGAAGGGCAATTTTCACATTTGTCATTTTATGGTCCTATATTTAGAGGATATGAATTGGATTAAAGCTTTGGTGGTGGGTGGGGGGCAATCTAAATTGAGTGGTTTTAGAAATGAAATCGTTGCCAAGTTCATCTGAGGGAGATAAGTTCTGGACCAACTTTGATACAGAAGATGTGAGAGAAACTTTTTGGAGATTGACGGACACCATCCCTGAGTTTTATTCAYGCTGACACATGGTGTTTTACCCATTCTCATGTTATCACAGGAACAGAATGCTGCCGACMGTATTTATACTGTATGAGTACGAAGTGTACAACTCTGAGTTTTCATCACCTGCAGTGACAGCTGCAGAAACCACACACAGAYGCTGGAGTGAACTGGTCTCAGGCAGGACTTATGGGCTGTCCCTGTATGGCAGGCCATGTTAACATAAAATCGTTTGACTCTGTAATTACATTCTAGATATCTAAAAATGAGTTGTGACTAGTAACAAATACATTTCGACTATTATGAATGGTAATTTAAGATCTGCATGTTCATTCTAAATAGTCAGAACAATTCAAGAAATCCTAAATTACATGTGATGGATCAAAATGTCTTCGAAGTTATTTTAAATGACGTCTCTGGATTCGTCATTTGAAGGATCATAYATCCGTAATTACACTTCAAGATATCAAAAACACAATTATGACAAGTCAAAATTGCATTTTTTTGATATCTGAAGTAAGAAATTTGAAGTAAGAACAGACTGACCTGACACTGCAGACCACTGAATTGCAAATGCAGGCAAATAAAGGCTTGGAAACGTTCAGTCAAAATGCTACATAAATCTGTGATGTTTTGACAGAATAATTAGCAAAACCTGTCTAGATGACTAAAAGGTTCAAGATATCTAATTTATTTGAAGATATCTTAAAAGGAATTGTGACTAGTCATAAAAACAGTTCTAGATATCTCTGAGTTACTTTTGTCTAGTCATTATTTGCTTTAAAGATATACCTGCAATTAAATTTGCACAAGTCAAAACTTATCTGCTATCTAAAAATACATTTAAGATATCTTGAGTAATGAGGTAATTTAAGACATCTTTAATTGGAATTATAGAGTCCACGAGGGGACATGGGGGGGTGTTCTTTTGCGTTCACACAAAATATTTATGTATTCCCTCGCAAAAGTTGTTTATTACTGCTGTGCCTGCCAGTTTCTTAACAAATTCCCATGCTCACCATTATACTGGAGTTAGCCTAATGCAGCTTTGGAATGAATGTATCACAGGGACGCATAAAAGTGTGTAAAATGCAGATATTCAACTCTGTATAGCCACGCAACATCACCGGCAATTCCCCCAAACTTGTTGCGATACAGCTTGTTTTGGTAACTGGATATTTCAAAATAAAAGTCTGGTTTAATACAGTTCATTCAAAACATTAACTCTTTGCGTGGGAACGCAAAAAAAAAGTCCCCTTGACCTCTTGTGGGCTCCATAGAATTATTAGTAGTCATAATAAAAAGCGAGATATCTTGAAAGCAAATAACGACTAGTTAAAACAAACTTGGTCAAACTGGTCAAAGTTCCATTTAAGGTATTTTGAACTGAAGCCTCCATACAACTGGTAAATCTGACATAATTTATACCAGTCAGAATCTTAAATAAGTATTTTTGCCTGGACAAAATATAATTAAAGACATCTTTATTAACTAATACTGTATGTCTGTATCTGGAATGTTAGGGCGGTGAAGCTGATTTTGCTAATTTTATTTAGAGCAAAAAGACTTGAAAGCGCTGAAAATCAGCCACTCCAGTGGATTTTCTGATCTGCACTTGTTAAATTATGGTCAAAAGATGCTGGACTCTGGTTTCATTTTACACTTTTATCAATGTTTACCAACCAACATGATATTTAATAAAAAAAAAAAAAACATTCTAACTTGTAATTTTAAAAAGATCCTCACCACTACAGAAGTTCAAATAAAACTTTGAAACAGCTTCTGAGCACATATTTGCTGTGGGCACACGTTAAACTGCACATAAAGTCATCTTTGACTAATGCAAATAAATAAATCAATAAATAAATAAATAAATAAATAAACAAATAAATAAATAAATAAATAGTCTGAAGCTAAATATTGGTGTGTGATAAGAAACAACTTTATCCGAGGACTCTCTCTGAATGTGGCAAACTAGAACATTTCTGAAGATATTTTGAAGGATGTAACTTCTGCTTCCTGAAATGCCAACAAACATGAAGTTTCTTCTTAAAACCACAGTCCAGCTTTGTAAACCAGGTCCAGGAAGGGAACTGATGATGCAATGTGTTAGTGGACATTTTAATGATGTTTATGACCTCGGAGCTTCTTTTGGAAGTGATTGTTGCTTTTGTTTTATGTAATAGTGTTCAGTAAAGATGGACCTTCATTACATTTAAACCWTTATTTTTTTYCCCTCCCATCCTAATTTTTAATTTYCCTTTTGGAAAAACCAGTTCAATAAAGAAAAGAAACTCCAAATGTTGGACTTAATTGGAATTAATGTGCTCTGATGTTTGGCGGCAGTACATCATGCAACATAGAGAAAATATGAAGAAAAAAAACATAGAACATATTTTAAAATAGGTAAGTGAGCAAACCTCAGCTCAGACATTTGGAACTACTTTTATTTTAACAAGTCGCAGAATCTTGGACTCACTGACCKAACTGGCAATATGACATCTCTAGTTTGTGCACAGTCACAATTTAAATTGTAATTTTTTTGTTAATTTGACCATAGCATGCTCATTTTGTCGAGACCCTAGTTTTAGAGCCATATAATCTTTTTTACAATTTTTACAAATTCTTCTAATTTCTGCAGTCTTTAAACAATTTTTATACAATTCATACATCAAAACATGTATTTTTATCTTCCCTCAATCAGTGTTTCCCTCGCTGCTACACGATTTATGTTGTTAGGTTTTATATTTTTTTCAAATCCTCACAGAGTGCAGAGTCTGAACTCTCAATAAACTCCATTGTGTCTGAGCTCCAAATTTTCTTTTCAAAGTTGGAAATAAAGGTATGTATTTCCTACATAAAGCACTGCAGACACTTTAGATTTTCATGTTTGACAAACAGGCAGTTCTATCAATAAGTGTAAGGAAAGTTTTTTTTATTAACAGGTTAACAGGGATCCATGTTTAGTTGTAAAATTAGACTTTATTTAATAAACATATATTTTGACTGTAAAATAAAGACTGTAAAAATACTGTAGGCTGTTCAGTTTTTTTCATTTTTAAACCAAAAGTTTAAAAATATATTACACGGACGGAGCCATTTTATTTACACACAAAGCATTCTGGGTAAATGATGACGTGGATAGGTCATCGGTGCGAGGCTGCTAACGAGCTATATCCACCCTGAAGGTTAATCTTGGACAATATCTGATGATCGACTCTTTTAAGAGAGCGTTAAC